TTGGAAACACCCTGTATATATGTATAATATACAAAATTTATCGTAAAATTTTGAACTTATATTCAAATTTATGAGTTTATTCAAACACGTCAAAAATGCGTTATTTTGACGTTTTATTATAGTATTATTATTCGTTCGTGGCTCCTCGATTATTTAAAAATTAAAATTACAGAGATTTAGATTCAATCCACGCATTTATTTTTACCCATTGTTACGACAAAATAAATCATCGAGAGCCTTTTTAAAAATCGTAATTCATTCTGCGTTGTATTACTTGTTGTTGATACTTGGTAGAAATCTCCACCTCAACTTCTCTCTTTAGATTATCAGGTAGCTGATCCCACACAATTTGAGGCACGGTATCTGAAAAATAATGTTAATCTTATCTGTAAACATCATAATAATAATTTTGAGCTTGAAACGTTTTGCACATTTCCCTGTACATTATTCGTTAAAAATTTGTCACATTTTTCTACAGTTGTTGAAATAACTACATTATGTTTTGTAATTAAATTATGATAAGAGTTTAATTTAAGTCTCTTATGCATTAGGTTTGCGCTTTGTAAAAATTACTATCGAGATTACTTGTTTTACCTGTGCACTTATACAGTAAATCTGACCAGGTGATCATCTCTTGCGAGAAGCAGTAGACACCCAGTTTACCACCTTGCAGAGTCGAATCGAATACGTTCCCAGAGTCGATTACCTGCTGTGTGCCTTGATACAGCCAGAATCTGATCAGGCCGATCTTAGGTCTGTGCAACAGATGCCACCTGTATGACACTCTTGGCTGCCAACTGATCCCCGGTTCCCTCCACAAGACCCTCACCTGATTGGGCGTGTCTTCCTTGTGCCAGAGACTGTTTCGGAGCATCTCGCCCGGTCCAGTTTCGGACTGAACGAGCTTCATTACAAACCCGGGGTCCGCTTCAGCGCGGAATGGGGATGGTTCCCAGTAAACCTGTGCCATCCTCTTCCAGTAAATAACGTAAAAATGTCTATTATCCTGGTAGGAAAAGACAAAGCCCGCAAAATCATCGTCGTCATCATGGTTATCGATGTAGAAAGTTCCTTCGAAGTCAGCGTTAATTAGCACGTCCGGTCCTTTATAGATAGAAAAATCGATGAAAAAGATATAGTTGTTGTATATGAATTATTTAATAATGAAAAAAATTAAGATTTCATCTTCTTTCATATCCGTTGAATTTCAAGCACTACAATATAAATAATTTATATCGTATTGCACAATTTTAATAGCGCGAATTCCCAGCAGACTTTTTAATTTCTTCTTGTTTTTCATTCATTTCGGGAATTTGATTATCTTACTTAATTTTTTGAAGTACATTGTAGAAATTTATTGAAGGGCGACTTGAAGATTTTATATGCTTTTTTCATGTATCTTTACGATACATATAAACGTACCTATCGCGATTCCAGGATCGCTGTTAAGAAGCTGTTGAATCTCAGCACCTTGATGATGAATTCTCCATGCGGGATCTTGTTGCGCTGTACCGTAAGGATCGAGAGCGACTGTAAAGTATTTACGGAAATCCGTTGCCCATACTAAACTGTTATTTGGACAGTTATCGTAGGTATTAATAACTGTATCGTTGTCATTATCGTTCCAGCATGCATCGCCAATGCCATCGCCTATGTGCATAAAACACAAAATATTATTCTTCACGTGTTTCGATAATATTTCCTTTTCCACAACTAATAATAATAACAATTTTTCACAAAAAGCATTACATTAAAAAAAATACTAAATTTTA